TTGATATATGAATGAACATATGTTTTTGAGCTCTTCAAGACGAAACCATAACCAAGTAATAGAATACAATTTTTTTATATGTTCTTCAAAAGTGAATAAGTACATATGATAGTCGCTTTAGAAATGCCGTCAAAATGAGTTTGTGAGATGGCTAAAAATGACCATTAATCACTTAAATAATATTGGTGTGGGTAAATAGTATTTGGAAATGTGATTGCAAGGGGCCGGTCGACCGCACAGCGGGTTTCATTGTGCCACCCAAAAAAAATAAAACCCGATCCCGAACTCGAGCCCCTCAGCTTATGAGGTTTTCCAACTGATGCAATGCAAAAATGCATTGCGCATGGTCTTATTTCGTTTTATTTTTTTATTTGTCTGTTTCGTTTTTCGTTGCGTGTTTTGCCCGTTTGCCTTTGCCCACTTTATCATCTTTTCGTCCGCCTCGTCTTCGTTTTCATTTTCATTGTTTTCTTTACTAACTTGGCGACTAATTCCAACTGCAGCTGCGCATGCGTTTTGTGCGCGACTTGCAGGCGTTTCGGACGCGATTTCAGAGCGGTTTTCGCCTTGCAGCAATCGCGAATGCAAGCCAAGAAAATAAATAGGACCAGGAAAGAAGAATAAACCATAACAGACCGAGTCTCATTAGCAACCAATTGCTAAGCGAATTTCTCTGATGCGACTGAAAGACCATAAAACACGTACACGGTTACAAAATTGTTAACCACAACCATCAATAAAAAAAATAAAATAGAAAAAACCATTTAATGAGTACTATATGTTTAGTTCCTAAACCCTTTTTAATAGAGATTGTAAGTAATGTCAGAGGTAAAAAAAAATGTGATATTATCTAAACCACATATTAGTTAATCATAAAATGAGTACTATAGCTAAGTAAGCCAAAATAAGTATTGATGAATGGATGAACAAACATTTTTAAATCATTAATATTAAGTATTAGACCTTTTCTTAGATTAAAAAATACATCATAATAATTTTTACCAAGTAATAACCTTTTAAAAAATGATCTTACAATTTAATAACTTAAAAAGCTTCCAGCCCCCCCTTTTTTTTTGCTGTGCAGAGGTTTATCATTTGGTTCGCTGGCTGACGAGTGAAACAATTTTGTCATCAGTCGACGGGCACAAATACACGCACACGTACCCAGTCGGTCACATAGATACTATGTGCATTATTTCCATTTGGCTTTGCTTTATTTATGCATTTCATTTCCTCGCTCTGATTTGCCCCGCACTTCTGCTTCGAAATTTCTCTTTTAATTTGATTTTTTCTTTGTTAATGCAGCGCCAAGTAGAATCGTCGTCTGAATCGTCTGATTGACACTTGAGCTGACATTCCCATTTCAATTCGAATTCGGATTCGTACTCGTACTCGTACTCGTGTATTCCAATTTCAGCTTCCGTTCTTACCCTCTCACCCCTTGAATGTGTCATTTGTTTCTCACAATTTCGCCTCCTCATTTTGTATCTCCCGGTTTTTATCTTGAATGGTTCTATGAGTCAAGTTACAGGGGCTCTGCTGATAGGGAAATTCGGAGATGAGATATCAGACTATCATTGACGTCCAAAGATTGATTAAACCTTAAGTGGTACACTTCTGAACATTTTTAGCTTTCAAGTATTTTCCTAGCTGAAATAAACACCTAGTATTCTATATAAAAATCCTGTTAATAATTCTTCTGAAATTAAATAGAATAGATTTGTATTAAGGGTCATAAGCAAAACTTGAGTACATTTTTATCGCCCGTTACAAGCCAATTTCCACAAAGTGTTTATCAAATATTGACTAATTCCCCGGATTAGATTTTATGCTTGAGTGGTATACAACATCGAATGAGTCACACGTCGTTGGTCAATAAAAAAGAGTCCAATTTAATTTATTTTTTTTTATTTTAATTTGAGGCGTTGACAAAAGCTGCTGGCTTCGGTCACTCTTTCCACTCGGTCTATCTGTTGCTGCTGTCGCGCTTAATAAAATTCATTAAAAAAGGAGAAGACCGCGGCCCAACAACAATAATAACCATAAAGTAATATGAGGGCGATGAGGGGGAGGGGAGGAGATGGAAGGGGGTGGCATCGAGGGGTAAGCACCAATACAAGCACATGCAGCATTCAGCGCAGATATAGAGTTGGTATTTTAACTACTTTATTGCTAGATATAAGATGACGGGGATTCTTATATCTTACTACAAGCAACTTCTTAAAATCCCAAGAAATAAAAAGAAAATATCTTAATAAATCACTTTATTTTTTTTTATTTAAAAATCGAGGGAATGCATTTTGGCTAGGTCTTGATTTTCAGTCATGCCTAGCAATTTGAAACCTCTTAAGAGGGCGTCTAAAAGTATGCTACAGAAAAGTTAGTTCGTCGTTCGGCATTTATCCAGTGCACAAAATATAAAATAGCATACTCTAACACACCTTTATAAAAGATTTTATGTATCTGGTTTTAGCTGCTTAAATTAATATAAATAGTATACCAAGCAAGCCAAATTCGATCTGTAAATTTGTTGTATATCCAGCGTTTTTAATTATCAGCTCCCGACAACACTGCCTTGCAACTCATTACCGACGAAAACATAATGCTGCCAAAGACGCGAGTCTGGGGTTCTGGACAGGGACATGGATGTGGATGTGGATATGGACGGGGACTTGGACTTGGACAGGGCCGTCAGCCATCAACCATCAACCATCATCCACGGGCCATGAGCCGTGGGCCACCCTTTTAATTCTTCGTTTTTTCGGGGGAAGAAGGCAGCCGAGGAAGACCCGCAGAAAAGCCAAACCAAATATGAGCCGGGGCAAAAAAGACATGGAAGCCGAAAGCGAAAACATGAAAATATGTTCTTAAGAAATTTATTTGCCAGGCATTGCGAATGAAAGATGCCCCTTGTTAAAGTATGACAAATATATTCCCATTTGTTGTATTTAAATCATCTACATATTTGTTTTAATAAACTAAAAGAAAGAAGGAATATGAAATTACTACTGGATTGCACTGTGCGTTGAATCTTAGTTTTGAGAGTATAGTTGTATGCACATAGATAACATTTATCAGCTTTTTGGGACTTACCATCAGGGATGTTGTTCAGTTCTTCGTGTATATTCCCCGCTTATGTGGCATACAGGGTAGCCAAAAAAAGCAAACAGTTGCCTGCAATGTTGGTCACAGCCTGAATGCATTTCTTTCTTTCGATGTGGATGTGTGTTGCCCGTTGTTGTGTATCTGCTGGATACATTTGATGCCGACGGCAGCCAAGCCAACAACAACAATTGTGTTCATTGTGCTTAATTAATTTAGTTCAAAGATCAAGCGACCATATTGCTGAGCATCGACTGCAGTGCGATTCCTCTGCGGCTTCTCCCCATTTCCATTCCCAATCTCATTCTGAGTCTCCATCTCATTCTCACTCTCGTTCTCGTTCTCAATTTCTCTCCCCCTGGATCACTGTTTTTCTCCAAAGATGCTTCTATAGTATATCTTCCCTTTCTGTATATTCTCCCAGTTCTGTTTTATGTAGACTACGATATTTGCCCATTCCGGGGTGTTCTGCAAATATCGGACACTTGCTAAAACACTTGTGATATACTACATATGGAATCCATATTATGGATCTTGAATACATATATAAATATGCTTTGTGACAACAGTTGGGCTCATTTTAATAGCAAATAAGTTAAGTTAGTAATATGTTCTAATATGTCCTGAAAGACTAGTCCAAATCTACCAGAGTAATTTAACCTTTTTTAGAATCTTATTTTGTTCTACCTTAGCAGTATCTTTAGCCGACATATAATTGTTCAGATGATCCTGGGTAGAGTGACTTTCATGAAACACAAATTAAACCCAGTTTACGACCTTCGTATGATTTTCTCGACCGTATTTAGCAAAAGGCTTGGTTCATGTTCAAAGTACAGCTCTCATTTCCATACTCGAGTCACTTGCATTAAAGTGTTGAGCAAAGCTACAGATATTGTAATCGGTTGACGAAACGGTTGTGTATACTTCAGCAGTGTTTAGCATTCATCATGGTTAGTTCCCCGGGCCTCGCCCCCTCTCGAATCCGATTCCAATTCCATTCCCATATTTTATTTGGCTTTTTTTTGCACCCCCACCTCAAAAACGAGCTCCCAACTCGGGTCCCCTTCCGAAAGACCGTTCTCGATATGCTTAATTAGGCAACGGGCGTTGAGTATAAAAAGCGTCTTTTGTCGCTGCCACGCCCCACGCCCCACGCCCCATGCCCCACCCCCAACCCTTCACACACGCACACACAGGGAACCACACATGTTGCCCATGTTCCATTACACACATGTGGTTCAGTTTCAGTTCAGTTTAGTTTGGTTCTGTTCTGCTCTGGGCTTTTGCCTCCCCATCGCTGATCTCTGGCCAACACTAGTCAGCATGTAGTTTCGAACGGGACTGTTGCCCGTGTGCTTCCATGTGCAATTCCGTAGTGAGTTTAGATAGGGCTCAGCTAATCACCCCATTGATTCATTAAATTACAGCTCGTAACCTGAGCCTGATTTATTTGATCCACTTTGAGTCACTTAATGTAGATAGATTATTCAATTATTTTATATTATATAATTAAAAAACCAATAGAATAATGGGCCCTTATATGTAGATTTCAAGACTTTTTTAGAATTAACTAAATAAATCCAGGTGGTTGAGTTTAAATCAAGTGGCATATGGCCTTTAAAACCGCGCTTGTAATTCCCAACCTTTTGTTTGTTGATGAATTAACATAGTCTGAAGGATTAGGGGTTGGTGTATTGTGCCCACTTTTGCTGACTAGTGTGGAGTGCTCAAGTTCCCTGGGTGACCGGAGGTCGGCATCGCCATCGCCATAGCCACCGACTCTTTTGGCGTCGACGTCGACGCTGACCGCGACTGCAGCGCCAGTCGCTTACGAGGCGGACCGCCACCCAAGAAAATTCTCGGCGGCATCTTGAGTTCCAATTCAGTTGATATTCTGTTAAATTCGCGAACGCGTCGCGCCTGGAGCTCCGATCCGATACGATACGATCCGTTACGATCCGATCCGATCCCATCATGCCAGGCCCGATTTCGTAACATTCCGATCCGAAACTCGTCTTATCAGTGGTACAAAGAGACTGACCAAATTATAATTTTTGTTTTGGTGCTGGTGTTTCGGGAATAGAACATACACAAATAGATGTTTTACATAGAACCTCGAACGGAAGAGTGGATCTGCTGTGAGGGAAACCGAGAGAGATATGAGATAAGCGCTGTGAGATAACTCGGCTGGGATATGGAAAAATCATGGGACCAAGCCCCGTTTTAATTTTTTTTGTGTTTTTGTTTGTTTCTGAATTACAATACATTGTAAGCATTCATCATCGTTCATTCATTTGTCGCCATCCGCAACTGGATGGCGATGAATCATCGACATAGGCAAATCCGTAGATACTTTACAATCGCCGATTCACATGCCACATGGAGTGGAAGTGGTTGCAGTTTCGATTTTATTGTTGTCTCCTTGCGAGCTGCACAACTTCGGAGGGTTTTGTTGACGGGGTCAAGAAGGTCTTGGCGAATGCCCAAAAGTATGCAAGTCGGTAACAAAAGGTGGTAATTCGACAGTCCAAAATGTGGAGCTTTTTGGATATATCAAATAGGAACTCTTCTTTCTTCGTTTGTAAGATCCTTGAACAATAATTTAAAATTATATGTGTCATGATCTGAATACTTTTGGTCAGTGTATAATGTGCCAGTTGGGTTAAGCTGACCCCAAACTTGAATTATTGACTAGTTTCTCTGCACTAATGGCTTCATCTATTTAAAAAGTAATTCGTGATGTAAAGTGTTTGGAAAATGGATAAACCCATAATCGGAATGAGTGTGGCAAACTTACGGCTTGGTGACCCCGACGTTAGATGGTGCAAATTTTGTAGTTAATTCTTTAACAAAATAGACTGGTAGTTTGATGAAAAATGTTTTGCACATAGTAGGCTTTAGTCTTTTATTTAAAATCTCCAATCACAGGAGGCCGTGAAAACCAATTCCATTATGTCACGTCCACAATTAGTTCATTCAAAGTTCAAACGCTGCTCGGGCAACACCGGATACCAAAAATATATTTTTGTTTATTTCCATTTTTAACTGAAGTGCAAAATTTCAAAATTCTCTGATAAAATTTGTACAAAGAAAAGTGGAAATTGAGTGAGTAGTGCGAGTTTTGAGGAATATTATATATATTGTTGAATATAATTGGAAATTCGAATAAGGGGGTGAAGCACTGATTAGCATTGAAAACCGAACCCATTGCCGACATGAGCGAGGCACACAAGGCCGAGTTGAAGGAGATCTATGCTCTGTTGAACAAGGAGAACTCCTCGGGGGTCATCACCACTGAGGATCTGGATGCCGTGATGCAGCAACTGGGTCGCCGTCCCAGTGCCGAGGAGCTGCGAGACATGGTCCTGGCGGCGGACTCCGAGGGCAGTGGATCCGTGGACTTCCAGCGCTTCTGTCGCATGATGATCCGCGCCGAGCGGGAGCAGATTCTCCGCGAGTCCTTCCAGCGCTTTGACCTAGACGGCGACGGCGTCCTCTCCGCCGAGGAGCTCCAGCTGGCCCTGGAGGAGACCCTCGAGGAGGAGCCCGACCGGGCCACCATCCAGGAAATGATGCAGGAGGGTGACCCCGAGGGGACCGGGTTCATCTCCTGCGCCAACTTCATGCAAATGGCCCTCAAGTACCAGAAGGACGAATAGTGATGGTCGCCATTAAATTCAAATTCCTTTTCAATTGTCTGGGCTCCCCATCTGTGATCAAGCTTGGCCTGCAGAAAATTCTATGTCCAAAGGTTCCACATACAGTCCTGCCCAGAGAAATGTCAAAATGAGACATTTCCTTAAATAAATGTATAATACATACTTGCTGAAAACCGAAACATTGTATAGCAACATTCGAATAATAACTTAGCCCATGGGATTCAGATTAGAAATTCGCCTGAGGAACTTCGAATACCAAAGGGAAACGATACGCAAACAGTCTTGCACTTTCGTAAACATATTCAATACATTTGTAATATTTGTAGAGTTACAAAAGTAATGGAAGCTGCAATACGTAGTTAAATACAAATATGTATAACTTTTGGTAAGATTTTCTTAAGTTCTTTGAACTTAGAGCTGTTAAATGCCTTTATCTAAATTGTAGTGTTGCAATTCAAAGTGTTTACTACCCTCAACCTTAGTTCACTTAGATAACTTTGGATTAAAGGTGTATTTTTTGTAACAATTGGATGTCAAGATTGTAAAACATGTTTAAGCAGCTCAAAACCAAACCGGTTTCCCTTTTTAGGCCCCAAGACGATTATGATTAATGGCCGCAATCCTAGATCAAAGAATCGCCAGTAAGACGCAGTCTTCCCAAAAGAGATTTTAAGATCCACCGTCAAGATATATGTGCACGATTTGCCCACTTACGCTGATCAGAAGATTAATGCACGGCCCTCGTTTATTGGCACCTAAACTCCATTAGGGCCACTCTCGCCTTCCGTTTGGTATATCTGCGCACTAAAAAAAAAGGTGCTTCAAAATAAAAAAGAGTATTACATTTTTCTGTTAGGAAATAAATTACAATAGTTCCTTTCAACACTTTAATTTAAATACCTTTTTCTGTTTAAAAGTAAGATTCAATTTTTGATATCTGTAAGTAAGAAGAAGGCATTAAATAAACTATTTTGAAAAAAATAAAATAAAAATTTCATTTAGATATCTTTTTCTGTTTAAGGAGTAATGGTACATCAGAATCAAAAATATTAAATATTTACTTTGTTCAATGAAATTCTTAAATGATCCGTTATAAAATGTATTTCCGAAAGCACTACGAAGCCATTCTCAGAACTCTTCAACTGAATTGTTTTCTTTAAATGTTGTTTCTGTAAACTAAGGACGTAATAATTTTCTCAGTGTGGGCCATGCACATTCCATATTCCACGTTCCACATTCCATTTACCTGGCGGCACCTGTGAGGCGTAGGTGAGGAAGTCGACGATCGTTACACAATTCTCGGCTGGCCAACCTGTTTCTCGGGGGTTTTCTGTTTTCTCCCTGCTCACCTCTCTTCGCTCTGTCAGGGCCACCAGTTTGAGTTCGAGGGGGGTTCGAGGGGAGAGCAGGGGCCACGCCCCCTTCGACCGACATGGTTTGGTGGATCGGCTTGTGAGTCATCCCCGTAAATCAACAAAAACAAAGACCAAATGAAACGACTGTAGAATTCCAGCCAGAAGAGCTGCATTCAGTTAATGTAGAACCCTTGGGCATTGGGGTTTTTTATTTGACAAAAAAAGAATAAAATTCATTCCCTCGAGCGATGCGCTATAAATTATTTTAGAAAAAATCGACAATCGTTAATTAGAAATGCTATACTCCTAAAGAGCTTAGTAACAAATGTTTCAACTGGTTCTAATAACACACAATTTGAAAACAGTTTAACTGAATATTATACATTTTTCATTTTTTTTTTATTTGGATGGGAGTATATCATTCTTTGGAAGCGATAAATAAAGGAAGCAATACTTTGGAATACCTTCAGCTATTGTATAGCAATGCAAAAATGGATCGGGGTCACCAAACTGGTCTAAATACATCACATCTTGGGGCCAATTGAGTGCAGAGTGCAGCGACTTTTGCTGAGATAATGAATATCGGAAGCGGGACAGAAACAGGGGCTATTGAGAAATAGAGGTAGGGGGTAGTGTCCTCACTTAAGTCTCAACTTTAAACAGTTCAAAAGCATTGACTTTTCACACTGTGAGAAACAGGATCGTTTTGGGATGATCTTTTTTCCACACTGATTCAAAAATTGATATGATATTAAGTCGATTTGATGAAATTACGTTATATTATGAACTTAGTATTAGTTATGTTATTATTATTAGTTATATTTTGATCTTACAAGAATGTCATGGAATTGCAGTTATATGTAGGTGTGCTTTTATTATCCGAAAGAATAACAGTTATTTTCTGACTTTTAACTATGCAAAGGTCTTGAAAGAAAAATTATTTTTTGATGAAAAGTTAAAAATAAATAAAAATAAGTGTAAGAAAGGTGATAGATTTCGAAATATAGACGCAATAAGTCGCGGTGTATTGAATTCACTTGAACACAGTGCTCACTCGTTATCTCTCCGGGTCTCTCGTTTGGCCATTATTTTCTCACTTAATATTGAATTATGACATGACGCAGCGGCGATAAGAGAAAGTAGGGAGATAGAGAGAAAGAAAGCGTGGAAATGCCACAGCAGGCGAAGGACATCAACGATAACTTCGCCATGGAGACGCACATTTACGAGAATTTGCCGAGTGTGGGCGTGGCCGCGACCTCCGCCCCCAGCCCCTGCCCCTGCCCCTCCCACAAGGGTCATACCAACTTGGAGCTGCGAAAGTATTTCCCTCGCGAGACGATCTACGAGAATCTGTGCCGGGGCTGCGGCTATGGGGTGTTCGCCGCCCAAGGCCGTTACTGTCATTTCTGTCAGTGCATCGTGAGCGGGGGGGTGGTGAGTCCGCCCCCTCCACCCTTTTCGCCACCCCCTCCCCCTCTCTCATCGGAGTGTAATAATATTTATGAGAATATCTGCGATATGTGCCGCGGCATTTACAGCGACAACGAGCGATGCCAGTGTCAAAGGTCAGCGGAGTCGCCCACTGACAATGCCACGCCCACGCTCACAGCCACCCCCACGCCACCCACTCCTCCCACCAAGGTCAAGTCGCGCTCTCTGCTGGGCTACTCCAAGTCCAGTGCAGCGACCTTGACCCGTCTCTTTGGCTCTCTTAAGCAGCTCAATCGCTCTTCGTCGCTGCAGCGAAGGCTCTTCCCAAGGACCTCCAACGGCGGCGGCGGTGCCTCCGGCTCTCTGGAGATCATCCACAACGTTGACGAGGTCTTCCGCACCCAGGAGACCTTTGACCTTCGCCGCATCTGCGAACTCAAGCTGCAGCAGCAGCAACTTAAGAGCACCAGCCAGAGCGATCAGCACATTTACGGTCGAGTAAGAGAGCCCGAGCCCCAACCGCAGCAAGAGCAAGAGAGCCCCGGCCAGAATAGAGAGCGCAAGAAGCCGCGTGTTTCTCGCATTCGCTTGCTGCAGGACGAAAGAGCGGCGGCGGCAGCGTCCTTGTATCTCAACGAGAGCATTTGCCAGTGGATGACGTCACTGAGGCGCCAGGTCCACCACTACGAGGAGGGGGCGTGGCAGCAGCCCAAGAGCGTGCCAGCGCGAAGAGATCATCAGGGGATCAGCTCCGAAGAGATCGCCAACGTCACACTGCGAAGGAGCAAGGACATCGCCGAAGAGAGTTGCCACCGGCCGCAGAATCTGATCGAGGACTTTAAGAGAAAGCTACAAGTGAAGAGAGAGGCTAAAGAGTTGGCAAGCGAGCAGCGCAGATGTGCGATCACGGCCGAGTTTGTGAATGACTACCTAAGTGCTCTGAACGAAGAGAAAAGGCAGGCGGCCACGCAACAAGTGGGGCTGATCGAAGAGCAGGGGGACAGAGATGCTATGCCACCATTGCCCCACCAAGTCTCTCTCTTACGCTTAATGCAGAGCCTCGCCCTCTCCGGCAGCCTGCACGTGTGTGTGCGTGGCTTTCTCACCGCCTATGACAAATCGTTCAGTCAGTGGTTGTGGCAACAACAACAACGCAAGCAACACAAGCAACCGATCAACGGTTATCGCCGCCAGAGAGCGCGTGACTCAGTTGGGGGCTATGAATTTGAATGGCGCCTGCTTCTCTTCTTCGGCCACAGCGATCGCTCGGCTTCAATTTCATTTTCGCCAGCGGTTTCGAAGAGAGACGACGTGTTTTCGGCTGCAGCGCAGCGTCGCGCGATTCGAAGTACGAAGAAGGGGAGCATTGCGAGCGAGGGAGAGGGAGCGGGACCGGGAGCGGGAGCGGGAGAGGGTGTAAGCGGGGGCGAGGGCTCCACCAACACCAACACCAGCACCAATAAAAACCATAACAACAACAACAACCACATTCGAGCTTTGATGGCGGCGCCAAAGCCAAATGGTGGGGCAGAGCGCCCCACAAACAACAACAACAACAACAACAACTGTAGCAGCAACAACAACAACAACAATCACAGTTGTGACAATGAAAGCGGCAGCAACAACAACACCACCACCACCACCAGTTGCAATGTCAGCGAGCAACAACAACAGCAACAGCAAATCACACAGGTCAACACTCATTATAGAGAAACAACAACAATCAAAAGCCAACGAAAAAAAGCACAGAGAAAAACAACAACTCACTCAAAAATAATTACCTCAAAAATTATGATTTAAAAAACCATTAATAATGTGATAAAAATGTACGAAATGTGATTTGGCAAATCGATTAGCAAAGTAAAACTTCCATTACTCAAACAAACAAGCAAAAAGAAAAAAAGCTTTAAAAACAGTTAAACAGACCTTAAAATAATTCGAATTTTAGAGAATTGTTTTTCAGGTATAGACTCCATATTATTAAAATTTAAATGCATTGAAAATTTGTTAGTAGGTAACAACCTACAAGTCCTGTTGATTTTAAAGTGACATAAATTATAAGCCCCCACTTGTTTTTTTCTCTGTGCTGTCGATGTTGTTGCGTTTCATTGCAGTTCAAAATTGACTAACGGTTCGCGTGCGAAAGGGATGCCAATGTTCGATTGGCCATCGGAACACAAACACAGACACACACAAAAAATAAACAAACTTATCTAATTAAAAACAACCATTAAAACTGAAAAAATGTGGAGGAAAACAAACAAGTTTGCAATGAAAACAAAAGATAACTATAAAATAATCAGCGTTTAATTAACGTTCTTTTTTGTCGATTTTTTGTTGATTTTTTTTACAAAAGTGTTGGCATATTGGAAAAAAATCTGAAATTACCATCATGCCGTTATGAAAAACTTACATGTGATTGAGATTTCCAGTGTAGATGTGTTTTATGGAGTTAATTCATTGTTTTTTATGGGCGGCATATTAATGATAATTTCCACCTAAAGCGGAAGAGGGAAAGCCCTCTGCTTAATTGCTTTGGTTATTTTACTCAATTAACTAATCAACTGGCTTAAAGTGTCTGCACTTTTTTGAGTTTTCTGTTTTTAAAGAGTTTTGAAATGTTACAAGTTAATCCTAAACTTTAACAAAAGTTCTTAAGTAATATCATATTATCGTGTGATTATCTTAAGATTTTTAAGATTTTAGAAAATTAAACACCATCAAAAGCTTTATGCCCTTACAAAGAATAGGAAATCGTTCTATAAGTCAATTTGAGAAGCGCGTGAAACCCAACAACCCAACGAGGATAGTAGCCAAGGACCCAAAATGCCAACATGAATACAACCTTTGTTTGTACCTGAACTTCCAGAATTGCGTGATCAAGGTCCGACGTCCGGCGCCCAAAGTTCCCGTTCGTAATCCCAACACTTCTCTGAGCAATCCCCGCCAGACGGACGAGGCGTTGGCCAAGTCAAATGGTCAGGGCCAAGACAGCCAGGACACCAGGGCCAACTCGCTGGCCGAGGAGAATCACCAAACCGATCCCCGTGTTTCAGAGGAGGAGGATGAGGAGTCCATTTACCAACCCATTTGGCAGTTCAAGACCCTGGAACCCGCCGATCAAGAGATCATCGAAGCCCCACCGCCAGGTGAGGACGATGAGGAGGAGGAGGAGGAGGAGGACGAGGAGGACGACGACGACGAGGAGGAGGAGGATCTGGGAGAATACGACGAATTGCTGCCCTCCGACGCCGATGCGGATGTGATGGCTCTCCAGGCGGCGGCCGTCTTTGCCGCCGGCGTTCGCCACAAGCTCTCCACGTCGACGCTGACCAAGCGTTCCAAGCTGATGCTGCCCACGCCCTTGCCCTCGCCCACCGCCTCCATGGACCAGGGGGCGTGGGAAACGGACGTGGAGTTCATGTACTCGCGGGAGACCAAGGATGCGGATGCGAATGCGGAGGCGGATGCAGATGCGGAGGCGGAGGCGGATGAGACGCTCAGCCTGGGCAGTACGGTGACGAACAGCACGGCGACCCTGGGTTCCATCAGTAGCACTGGCAGCTCCAGGTTGCAAGCTCCTCCTGCGGACAAGAGGCCCGCGGAGATTGTGCCCCTGGTGCATCCTATCCTTAGGAACATCTGCATTTTCTACAGCCCAACGGATCCCAAGAAGTATAGTGCTATATTCTACGACTACCATCGATCGCATGTCCACCAGCGGTTCATGACCCGCATCCGTCGACCGGCACCGCCACCGCCCGTGACCCAGGTGACCCCGGCCGCCGCGGTGAACCAGGTGACCCCTGCGACCTTGGTGACCCCGCGCAGCGACGACAGTGGCTGCAGTTGCGAGGCGGAGGATCTGGAGGACCCTCACCACCGCACCGTGGCCATTCCCCAGCCCCTCAAGGAGGATTGGGAGCGGGCTGTGCTCGCCGCGGGGGCGGTGGGCGGCAAGAGGGGCGTGGCTCCGCGGGCGGGACGCAAGCTGAGGGTCCGCTCCAATGCGAGGCTACTGCTCACCGATTCCGTGCTGGCCTGGCGGGAAACGCTGCAGGATTTCCATTGCTGCGAGGACGAAGAGGACATGGTGAGTGGGAAGTCCTTGAAAAGGGATCATAACAAATATATAAACTTCATATAAGATCAGCCATTTCGATTCCTCTAAAACATATCTTTATATTCATAGCATAAATATCAAGCATTTCCTCTTAAAAATTGTATCTATTTTGGAATAATAATTATTCTATGCAAAGCTATTCCGAGTTAAATCACAAAACCCTTAATTTTCGCTCTAAAAATTAAGAAATCACGCAGAAATTCATATTTGTATAACACACATTTGTGGAATATTACCTATTCTCATCATATTTTTTAAAGCATACCAAAATAGATCTTTTTAGAATAATGCGTTTAAGGGTTAGAACTCATACGCACTGTTGCCAGTGATCAAAATTTGTATACTATGTTGCGTACCTTTTTACTTAACATTTGTTTTTTCTCTCCTCTACTTAAAAAGTATTCCAACAAAATCAATGAATTGATAGGGCTAGCAATTTTTTTCTAGACAAATTCTAAATTACTACGGGTCGTATGAGTAATTTTTAAGAAAACTTTCATGCCCATATATTTTTTTAAATTTGATATCTATAATACCTCTGAATTTGGAATTTCTGAATTGAGTGACTTTAGTGTTTTGCGAACAAAACTAAACAATAATCTAAAATGAGAAGTTGCATTAATACTTGTTTTATATAAAAAGCTAGGTTTTTTAAATAACGTGGTAATATACAGACTAAGGAACTTCTGAATTAGTACCTTAGCAATCTTTAACCCTGGTGCAAATAGTAATAATAATCTAAAAATAGTTCGCTGAATCAAGCTTAAAGTCGTGACTTAACTTTAACTACCTTGATTAAATCAATTTAAAGATTGAATTCTTTGTTGTTAATCTGTAGAGAACACCTAAATAACTGAATCAAACTCATGGTCTAGAGATCGAACATTTCTCCGAGTGTACTCTTGTCACTCGCAATTTGCCATGTACGTTCTCTCAGTTTCTTCGTATGGCCATTGTTTCCTCACTTGTCACTTGTCACATCAATTAAACTCGGCAAAAGTATCTGTATCTGGGTACCTTGGTGTTCGTATCCCTTTCTCCCCCGGGCACAAGGGCTCATGCGATTGTTTAAGCTGATCTATGGTCTGCGAACCCCTTCTCCGAGGGCTTGAAAGAGTTACACAACCTTCCGTTGGGGGAGCAGCGCTATTGCGAAAATACCCTAATCGCACTGGGAGGTCTCGACCGAGGCAATTATAAGATACACCTTTTTGTAGATACACAATGTGGCAATTTAATTGGCATTGCTATCACTTTCTTGAATTAATTAGCCATTTCTGTGGTTGATGAGTAGAATTTCAAAAACATTATAACCTATATTACAATAATACTGAAAGATTTATCAATTTACCTGGGTTGAATTAATAAGGTATATATGTGTGGTTGATGGATGGATTTTTAAAAACATTATAATCTGAATTATAATATATTTAAGAACATGTATATAACATAGTTTATCAAAGGTTAATTTAAAACAAAAAACGTTGGTTATTAAACTTTAATAATATAGGTTCGATTACTTGAATGTTAATGTCATGCATAGTTTGTCGAAGGTTTTTTTTGCTTCATGTTTTTAACAATTTTTTTCCCCAGGGAATTTTTAAGCTTCCAAATTTATTTATTGTACATAAATACTGCTTGCTTAAAGTTGAAAACTAATTTTCTTCTAAATTATATTTAGTAAGGTGCTGATTTCTAATGTTGTTATGGTGTTTTAAAGTGCTTTTCCGTTAATCGTCTCTTAATTTGTGTTAATACAGGGCATTTCTGAGTCTATCGAAATGTATCTTTTTGCTTGAATACCTGGCAATTTGATTGCACTTTGTTTATAACGCATATGCTTGTGTGTGCATATGTGCAAATTTACAAATTCACAAACTTACAAACATATGTACGTGTGCCGCTTTCTGCATAATGAATTTTTATTTATTTGCCTCTCACGTTTGTTATTTTCTGTTTGCTGCATTTGCCGCTGCATGTGAAATTCCATAGAAATTCGCGGGGAGAGTTCAGACCCCCCTTTTCAGGCCCCCCTTTTTCGACCCCTGTTGATGCCCCGCCCCTGTTTTCGTGAGCCCCAACATGTTGATTCACATTTCGCGAACGACAATTATTTATTTATTTTGTTTTATTTATTCTCCCCCTTTTGGCTTGCATATATTCTGCCGTAATATGCATATATTGGTAGAGGTATCTACATCTGTATCTGTGTGTTTGTTTGCCTCTAAAGTTAATTTTTTGGATTTTTGTTATAAACTTTGGCAAACCGGTTCTCCGCTTGAGGGGCGCATTTGTTGATACCCTTTGAGAGGGTATACCATACCCATATATGTTATAATCGATCTGTTTGTGTAGGTTCCCTGTGACTTATGTTACTTTGCCTAAGTATCCGAAAAATTAAGAGTTTTTAGGGCAGTAATAGAAAGGGCTTTCAAAAATAATCACTCATTTTTATGGAGCATTTTTAAATCGGGCTCTGTGGTTTTATTATTCGGCTTTTCTTGTGTGTAATTTCCTGCCTTCGAGCTTCGTTCATCGCATTTATCAGCACTTAATTGGTAAATCATTAGTCAAATATTTTCGTAACTCTTCTTCGTTCTGTTACCGCCTTGAATTTGTGGTTTTTTGGGCCCTTCTCAGAAGTTCTTCTTCTGCACCAACTTCAATCGCTGGGATTGTAAAAATCTTAACGGAACTCGAGTGTTCCATAAATAAGTCGGCGATATGTGTTTTCAGATATGGTTACTTATGCATATTCAGAAGATAAAATCAAGGGGTATTTTAATTTCTCTTGTACGGTGTACAGTATATGACACATCTCAAGAGAATTATATGGTTTTTCCGAATTATCAACAAAGTCATTTCAAGTGGCCTTATAGACCATGTCAAAACTGAAGTGGCAAAGTAAATTTATTTAGTTTGTCAACAAGCTTGGAAAACACGATCTCGAATGGGTCTTGAGATGAATCGAAAGCAAAGATTGCCCACGCAATCGAAATGTTTTGAAGGCAGCAAGCTCCTCTTCCCAAAAAAAAAACTAAAAAATTACAAGCAAAACAAAAAGGTCAACTGAGCCTGAGCCGCCTTTGTTTGGCTTTCGGATCATTTGTTTATTTTCCGCGGTTCGGTTCAGTTTTTTTGGTTTTTTCGGATTGGTGTGGCTTTTTACAGTGAATCATGTGGCGAATGGGGCGATACATTTGTATTTAGATATAGAGACACACCGATACAGTATCTGCGGGCGCGCGAATAGAGCGAAAATAAAAATAAAGCAAGGCAAACACATGTACTAGTACCATTCGAGGTCGTATCAATTAAATCGCTTCGGTTGCCTTCTTTTTTGGGGCTTTATTGTTACCATCTATCTGGGCGCACATAAATTTCGCTTCCATTCTCACCCAAAAATCAAAATGTTTCGTGTAAACCGAAAACGAAAATCGAAACTACGCAATATTGGCGAATTTGTTTACTAAATAGTCAAAATACTCTCGCACGAAAACAAAAAGCAAATTAGCCAAAACAAATTCAGTCTAATCAGTTCGAGCGGCGTGGCTCGACTTCAAATTGCCAGAATTATCAAGTGCTAATTGGGGGTGAACAAAAATATCCGATATTCATCGATCGATTTCGCTCGAAAGACATTTGTTTTGAGGATTTGTTTATTTGACTTGGCTTTGTTGATACTGCAAGCAGACTTTCCCCCATTTCCAGCTGCAATCCAATTAGGCGGAAACAAAGGCGTTCACAGTACACTTTTAATTGGGGTTAACCAATACACCAATTAGTCTTAATATTTTGTGGCAATGGATCGGGGTCACCAAGCTGCGTCTTTAGTATATTTACAAATATTTTTAAGACTTATAGAGTGGGAACTTGTATAAAATGTACATACGTAAGTAATAACATGATCGATGATTTAGCATTAAACTGAAGTTATCACCGGGCTAGTTTAATTTTCCAACTCGGGGAAATAAGAATGCCTAGATTCTGGGAATCGCAAAAAGTGTTGCTTATGCCAAGGGACTTTTTTTTAAGTGGGATTTTGAAAGACAAACATATGTGGGACCAGACCGAATTCAGGGGAACTCCAGGTGCCAGTCCGAGTTCGCGTACTGTAAATTTTGAGGATCTCCGGCTGTATTATACAGTGGAGCTTCCCTAAGAAAACATGCATTATATTGATATCCCCTGCTTATGGTGTGGATATAGTTTTTTATTTTAACACATTTCTTACAGAAAGCAAAGAACTTCTTGAGTTATAAATTTTAAAAATTAGTTAGGAAATTTAAAATGCCTTTTAGGTTGGCAGTACGATTAATATTAAGGCAATATCGCCCAGTTAAATTGGAGCTAGGAGAGCTTACCCGTTGATATATATGCCATATGGGGTATAGAATATCCCACTTTTATGTGTCGCCGATAACCTGAGGATTTTGTTTATGTTGGCGCAAACAGAGTTGGGCGTCCGGAAAGGGGGTGGTGGGGGTGGTAGACGGGGCTGGTGGCAGCTGGTGGGCGGACAGTGGGCGGTGGGCGTGGCGGTGGCGATAAATGCATCGGCAGCGACACCTTGGGCCGTCACTGTTCGATTAAACGTTATCTCGGACGCTTGCATTTATTTTCCGTACCGTTGCGCGATTTCTTACAAATCGAAATCAATTTCTTATCAGAATTTGTTGTTTTTTATTTCTGTTTGTGTTCCGTTCCGGAGAAAGAGATAGCGTGCACCGCAGTAAAATCGAATATATACACATATAGATACAGTGGGGGAGTAAGAGAGAGAGCCCGAAAGCCTAGCGATAAGAAATGGCAGGCAGATTCAATCCCAAGCGAAGGCAAACTACGGTGAGCGATGGGTGGAACCGAAAAGAAACCCACCGAGGAACAGAACTTCCCCCGGAGTAATGGGGGTTACGGTCTGAACAAGAAAACAAAACGATTTCGGGCACTAGTTCGACAAACAAATACCCCACACAATGAGGTTCTTCAATGGGGACCCTGAAAAGTTTTTTTTGGGTTTATTTTTAATTTTCGGGAACCCCTACATATATATTGTTAATAGAACTTCTGATACTTTTTTGGGAACTTGAAACGTTTTAATTTATTATATAATCGGTTACAATATTACTGTTTCACTTCCGAATGTCAAGATTGGCTTGATATACAAGCAAACATGAAAGAAAGTTTTGGACCTCCAAACGATTTTTAACGAACCTCTATATGAATAGAGATTGTAATACCTTTTCTTGCCTTAACATTATAGTCCCCAGAATTTTACTATTGGTATGCTGATTATTACATAGTTGAGGGACTTAAGATCTTCGCATAAACAACACACCCTAAAGCTGGTTTAATAATAGGTACAAAAACGAACAGAAAAAAGCAATAGACATCGACAACGGCACGAAAAGCTGCAATTAATTTGCAGACGTTACTTGGATTGTTGGATTGTGTATCTGTATCTCAATTGTACGCTCCCAGAGCTTCTGGGCTAGCTTCCCTGCCTTCCCCCACCTTCTTTACCCATCTTTGCGAACCTGAATACTTTGGCGCTGCGTGACTCTGACCAAATCTCCCAATGGTGTGTCTTCCAGATTGTGCCAGTGACTGACATTCTGCGGGCGCAGCAAATCCAGGAGGACAATGAGGTGCAGCAGACGCAGCAGAGCACGATTCTCCAGCGCTTCAAGAGCGTCTCCATCGGCAATCTGCTCGATCTGCCGGGCGAGGATGATAAGAAGTCCATCAAGAACCGCATGCGGATGAAGTGTGAGTATTGCCCGGGGATCGGTGGGGAAACTATTACTGAGAAGGTTTTTATATGGGCCTGAGAAAGACATTTATTGGAATTTGTCAGGGGGAACTTTTTTTATATTTTTATTTTCTTTCAAATCGATTTTATTAGTTACTGTACTGTAAACACGTACTTGCCATTTATTGGGACCGAGAGTGGGGCTTCTTTGGGTTGGCTGGAAGTTATTGTTAGAAATATTAGTTTAAACATAAGGATTGTTTGCAATAAATAAGAGAAATTTGGTACGGTATATAGGTGTATATAACTAATGTAGCCCAGTTTCAATAGACCTCCACAGCTGAGTTGCCAACTATTTCTAAAACAATTAGTTGACGCGATCTGTGAGTGCATTTAAGTCCGCTTGGCGGCAGTGTTTCCAACTTCTTGACTTCCATCGATGACTTTCCTTCGAGTGAATTTGCCACTAACCGGTTTAAAGAGGGCGCCCGACTGTCTGCACAGAAACGGCTGCTCTTGGAACTGCGATTTCAAGTAGAAACCACCAAGGCCAGTGGAAAAACCAAGCACTCCAAAAAAATTGGGCTCTAGAGATGCACTTTTTTAATAGATTCAGGACTAAAACAGTCCCTCACTCTACCTTCAGGAAGAATTTACATAATATTGTAAGATAAATGAGGTAGATATAATATAGATGTAATAGATATAATAATCATATCATATATTTTTTTTTTACAATTTTTATTTTATAATTTTAAATAGTATTTTAGTTTTTTTGTATTTCAAACATTACATATTCGTTTAAGGCCGTTCTAAAGTTTGAAAACCCATTACAATTGAACTAAGCCGCGGAGTATTCACTTCTTGTTTTAAACCAAGAACCTTAGATAGACATTGGTTCTAATTTGAAAGCAGATTCCTTAGCGCCATTTGTAGACCTCGGTATATTTTTTCTGAGTGCATTGGTAGCACTTGAGGCTCGGCTCGTCGCGGGCTGGCCTTTTAAGGTCGCTGCGGCCCACACAACGACTGGGACTTCTATCTACGGCCACATGAATGGGAGTGCGAAGACGAATACTAGAGTCTCTCTCTGGGATTTTGGTTAATGAAAGCTGGTTTCACTTTTTGCCGGACGCGGGGACGGATGGCATGGGATTTTGTGTAGCTTCGGCTGCTGCCTCGACTTTATTCGGATAATGCAAATGAGTCGCCCATGAATCACAATCTCGGTAAGGCGAGGAATGTTTGACTAACTAACTGAGTGATTGACTGATTGACCGACTGGCTGACTGACTGACTGGCTGACTGAATGACTGGGGCTGTGATTTCCGATTTTGCGTAGGCATAAAAACTCATACGCAATTCGCGGTCGGCTTCCCAGTCAGTCGGGAGTGGCACAATTACCGATCGCTTCTCCCATTGAGATGTCAAAAGATGCACTGCTCTTGGACAGGCGTTTGTCGCAATGTAGCCTAGCCCATACTCCCAAAAACCAATTCCAATATAAATAGAGTAATAATTTTTTATAATTTCTCCTTCCATGTTTGGGACACGCAATACAGTCGCCGTCAACAGCAATGTGTTTCGCATGTAAGTATGGCTAAATAAAATTGATCGAGTTCAGTTAAAGCTTTGTACGATTTGTCACAACTTCGGCACTCGAGTTATGTAGTTCAAATCCAGAGAACGTATCTAATAAATCTGTATGCCTGCAGCAACCGCTCGCCGAAGACCGAGAAGAAGTCGCGCCAACGTCGTGGCCAGGTGAACAGCCTGTACCTGGACGAGCAGAAGTATCCGCTCTTCGCCGCACCACTCAGCGCCCTGGAGCTCAACATGACCGACCATCCGAATGTGCCGCGGTTCGTGGTCGACATCTGCGCCTACATCGAGCAGCCGGAGTGCATCGAACAGGACGGACTGTACCGGGCGTCCGGGAACAAGGTGCTGGTGGACGAGCTGCGCAAGAAGCTGACCCACCTGTACGATCCCCGCTGGCTGCACACGGACGACATCCACACGCTGACCAGCCTGCACAAGCAGTTCTTCCGCGAGCTGACCGCTCCGCTGATCACCCAGGAGGCCTACGAGCGCCTGGGACGCAGCCTCAACGACGAGGCCGCCATCGAGCGGATGAGCCTGGCCTTTGACGACATGCCGGAGCCGAATCGCTCCACTCTGCGCTTCCTCATCAAGCACCTGACCAGGTAAGTGATTGAAGAATGGGATCTGAGATCCCTAGCTAGCTCACATGGGCATCATCATGCATCATCCAAAAGTACTGTAATATGGTTTTTCCCTTTGCCTATGTCTGGTTATAGTCATGTATTGTATTACCTATATCTGTATTTCAGAGTTGCCGCTGCCAGCGCTTCGAATCGCATGCCGTCCACCAATCTGGCCATCGTCTGGGGTCCCTGTCTCCTCAGCGCCAATCAAATCCAGCTGGACATTGGGCGCATGAACATGCTGGCCAAGGTGCTGATCGAGAATTATGATCGCATCTTCCCTCCGGACAACGAGCGTCTCGTTTGCTAGGATGCGCCACGTCCGCCCCTCCGCTGCCACGCCCACACAACTCCACATACACACAAACACACACACATCACACTGAAAGCAAGCAGCATCGATATATAAGTGCCTCAGACATTAGAAATCATCACGTCTCCACCCTTCTCACCCTATGTCTTACATAATAATAATAATATTTTTTTTTTTATGTTTTTTTGTCAGCTTTAATTCTATGTTGTCCTTCGCTAATTTTAATACTTTTAATTACTTTATTTATTCATTGGAAATGGGAACTCGCCTAGGCGAACCCATCAAGAAAATACTTACCAAAAAGACAGTAGACTAAGTTATATTACTAAAGCAGAACCGCGGGAAAAACCCCAATATCAAGGCGACGAACTTTGTGGCGGTACAGTGAGCACTGCCTGCGGCCACTTCAACAACATGACGATACGTTTTTGTTGTTTTGACATCACACATGAGACGCGATAGTCGCTGCAAACTGCAACCGTGAATATAATGTGTATTTATATATATTAATTAATAAACCATATGACATATACGAATAAAGTCCAGTACAGTAGATAGGCTACGCAAATTTTTTGTTTAATGATGCTTGGGAGCATGAAAGCCAAAAAATTGTATATTTTCTATATCAATAAATATGGAGTAATTCTAAAAGATATTTTGGATTGTATTTAGATTTGGATCTTTCATATTATAAAACCTTTTTTCTGGATTTATAATACTTATCATTTATTTTTTACTGTGTTTTTGGACTTATCGGAGAACTTTTGCCTACTTTTGGGCCTAAACATCATTATAAATATTTCAGAGCCTTGGTGCTGAGGATTGCCTGAACCTGCACAACTTGACCAGTGCCCAAGTGGGTGCAGTCGATCCATCCGCTCCCTTATGAAATATGCGAAAATTGCTCAAAAAATAAAGTTTTCCAAAAATGATGAAAATCGTTAGCCCAGAATGTAAGCTGCTCAAGACAGTTGGTCTCTCGGCTGTGCCCCTCGTTTTTACAAAGTTATGATTGAAAAACCGCCAAAAATAAGGGTATTTTTGTCTGAAATCCGACTACCTATTTTTCAACCAAAAAAAACAGGTATTTTGGCAATCATCTTGCGAAATAACGTCGGAATACGGAATCCCATACCTCGTTGAGCTCGTAATTTAATTTTCAATCGATTGACATTGAAACCTGGAAACTTTAATTTTTGACCCATTTTCGCAAAAATAGATGATGTAACCCCTTATGAAATATGCGAAAATTGCTCAAAAAATAAATTTTCCCAAAAATGATGGAAATCGTTAGCCCAGGATGTAAGCTGCTCAAGACAGTTGGTCTCTCGGCTGTGCCCCTCGTTTTTACAAGGTTATGATTGAAAAACCGCCAAAAATAAGGGTATTTTTGTCTGAAATCCGACTACCTATTTTTCAACCAAAAAAAACAGGTATTTTGGCAATCATCTTGCGAAATATCGTCGGAATACGGAATGCCATACCTCGTTGAGCTCGTAATTTAATTTCCAATCGATTGACATTGAAACCTGGAAACTTTAATTTTTGACCCATTTTCGCAAAAATAGATGATGTAACCCCTTATGAAATATGCGAAAATTGCTCAAAAAATAAATTTTCCCAAAAATGATGGAATTTTGGCAATCATATGCGACACTCGACTATAGCGTTTACCTTGTTGAAAACTACAAATATTTTGGTTTGTGACAGACTGCAGGAACTGATGTGAAATATGTAGAAAAATAATTGATTTTTATGCTATTGTAAATAAGCAAAAACTAGGAGAAGCATAGTAAGTAATATGTAAATATGCGCAAATAAATTTCAGAAAATTTAGCTTTTGCTGGCGAAATAAATATGAAATGTACACATGCATACACGACTGCTGGGAAGCCAAACATAACATTTTGCCCCCACCCCTTGAATAATATTCGGCATGGCAGAAGATATAGAAGATGCAATTTAAACATAATTGAAATGCAAATCGCAGACTGGAAGCAGAACCAACTTCGCAGGGCGGATGTGTGGAAGCAATAATGAATCCCAGTCGACCCCACAGGATGCGGGGCAAATTTCAATTTCAATTTTCCCAGCAAATCATACGTAAAGTTTTGCCAAATACATTTGGGCCGGGCCGAAGGGGCCGAAAAGGGGCCACAAGGATATGTCAATGCAATCAGTGAGGCATTTGACTTGGCCTTTCATCAACTCGACTCAACGCAGTCGAGTGCAAAGGACACAGGACACAGGACACAGGACCCAGGACACGAGTTCCTTGGGCGACACTGCGGCTGCCACAAAACTTTTTGCTGGCCAATCACCAAGAAAGCCGCCGAGCTACTGGCTACTGGCTACTGGTTACTGGTTACTCCTTACTGGCAATAATACCCCAAAGTAATACTGCAATAGGGGGCCGAAATTAGAAATCATTTTGACCAGCCGGAAAAAGGGGGCGTTGCGCAAAGTGCTGAAGTCAGTGGAAAATTTGTGGGCAAAACATGTTGATGACAGGCAAATATGCTGTAATGCAATTATGGAAGCTAGTGCTACCAGGATAGCGATTTAATTGACAATGCAAATTGAATCAGCATTTGTAACTCTCTAATCGAATTAGCTCGGCAGAAAGCGTCCTTTGCCTCCTGCCTTATGGTTAGGGTTACGGTTACGGTTAGGCTGACGGTTAAGGGTTAAGGGTTTTGAACACCGGCCTCGCCGTTTTTTGCCCTGCTCAGCAAATAAACTTTGCGTTCTCATTGCGGCAGTCGACTGCAGTTTCCTCCTGACCACACAACCGAAAGTCCCCAGCAGCAGGAGGAGGAGATGGTCCAGATCCGGAGCCAGGCCGTTGAGTGGACCTAACCACTGGAACGTGCCTTAACTTATAAAATGTTGCCAACTGCTGCCAATTGCAGCCAGTCTAAATGACTCACATCTCTTGGCTGCAATGTTGTCGAGAAATTCACAAGGAGTCTGCCGATTTCTCAATCTTCGGGCTGAGTCAAGGACTTTATAAGGCAGACGGGTGATACCTAATGAATTCAGGTCACATCTTGGAGTTAAAAAATCCTTAACCATTCAATATTTATCACAAGTAAGGTACTCAATCTAGCAAAGATTTATTTTGTTTTTTATCATTCAGAAATTATTATTTTTAAAATAGTTTTAGATGTAAGATATGTCTCTTGACATTACGGATAGGTGTAATTTTGGATATTAAAATAAGGGGAATACCTCATCGTGCTTGAACCGAAGTAGTTGGCCTTTTCGGCACCCCAGCCCATCGTTTCCTATAGAGCCACTTGAATGAGGCCCGCCACCTGTTGGCGAATTAGGACGCAACACTTGAGAGGGGTCGCCCCTCCGGAATTCAAAGGACCTCTGCCTGAAGCCCTCGGCTGACAATCCCGACACTAAGACGCTGGCAATGTGTAATAACTGGCAGCTTGGGATGAAGGACAAGAGCGAACCGTGGGACTTAGTTGGGGATTGGGGATTGAGGAACCGATGGGGATGGGGATGGGGACTCGGTGGCTAAGAGCTGGGATGACAGGACGCTGAGCTGGCAGAGAGCAGCAGCAGCAGAATCATCATCATCGTCAGCAGCGGCTAAGGATGTGACAATGCTGAGCCCGTTTGACATGAGCATGATATAATAAAAACCGCAAACAAGTAATGCCTACGGAACCGCAGTCCTCTAACCAAACGACTCCCGAGTCCCTGGACCAAGTCGATGAGATAACAGCAGCAGGCCGGTGAATAGGATAAAGGAGGGTGGCGAGGGGATGACTACTCAAGTGCTGTTGTCACAGCGCTACTGTCCTGCATGTCGTCCGATGGTCCTGCCCCCACATCCTGCACCTGAAAAAACACCATTCAAAGTGGTAAAATGTTAGAACTTATTACGAAAACTTAATTTTCTTAAGTATCATCAATGACATTTTGAAAAAACTATTTTAAGCTGAGCAATTTGTGAATGTTTCTGAAAAATTTACTTTGGCTTGTATAACCTTATCCCAAAAGAAGTATGAGCCATAAGGATTATGTTTCTTAGTTATCCCTAGGAACTATTTACTAATTTGGGATTTTTAACTTATACCGAATTCAATGTGTACAGTTGGCTAACCCCAATAGGAGTGACATTAAATCTAACCGTATTCGTGGTCTAACGATCGCACGGAAAACTGAGGTAATAACTTTATAGTATTTTGCACAGTGTGCTCTGGGGCCAGTGGGCATGCCGTTATCCTTTGGCGTGATTAAGCCACAAGTGCGTGACATTTTAATGCGACATTTATGCCCGGGACAAGAGATTATTATTGGAAATGCGCGCCCGGCTCGCGTGACAACAACAGGACAATGGCGAAGGCAATGGCAGCGGCATAAACATAAACCGCAGGAGCAGCAGCAGCAGCAGTGGCAGCGAAGGAGCTGCAAGGATAACAGCACAACTTGCTTAACGCCCTGGCCCACAGCTTATTTATTTATCTTCCCCGGCTGACACCCGAGTGACAACTTTTGTTCCATCCCTCGACCCCCGTCCTTCGTCCTTCGTCCTTCAAGGGGGGACAACTACGTCTATGTCCTGTCACAGTCTTCAGACATTTCTGAGCCACCTCCCGAGAATGTGGCTGAAATCCTGGCAACATATTTAATTAAAAGCCAAGGCAACCGGCTGACAAATGACAGAGGGATCAGCTGAAAGATGACTCACTGAGAAGGATCTGCGATACGCAGAAAACCAAGGATGAGTAGTGAACAAATTTAACTAAAATACTTAAATATATATTTAAGTACCCCGCAGGGAAAGAGGAGAAATGAAATGGATACCTGGCAAAAGGATACTGGCGATGATAAGTACTCGCAGCTGTAATCTCACTCCTAATTAATGTCCAACAATGTGGAGAGCACTATAAATACAATGAAATCCAAAGCCAAAATGACTTTTGGCATCGCAAAATAATAATAACAAGTAATCGATACCCCAATGCATCTGGCATATCCTGGCTTTAAGTTGTTGACCGAGTCCTTTTGGCTGTTGAACAAACATCGAATGGGGGATCCGGTAATCGATCTGTTTGAGTACTTGTTATCGATAATGACGGGCTCTAATAATAATAATAACCCAAGCTGCAGTATAGCACTTTTACGAGGCTTTGTATGGTGTGGGTGCCAATTGATGGCTGCTGTTGAAGCGGATAATAACGAAAATATGACATTTAATGCGCACTAAGGAGAACTGTTTTTTCCTTTGATGGAAATGAAGCAGTTTTTCTATTTTTCAACCTGTCAGAAAGGTAATCCGTAATCCCGAAGTCTTTTTAGCTGTTTCAAATATTCTTAATAAGCTATTCATTTTATTTGTAAATATTGAAGACACATAGCTCAGTTTTATTAAAATTCCCTGCTGAGCTTCTGATTTCTGGCTTTGGCAAATGTTTGCTAGATCAACATCCCCATCCCCGTTCGGAGCCACCTTTTTGTCCCGCCTGCAGCTGCTGAAATTAAAATCGAAATCATAACATGTCAACACATTTTGTAATGCAGCAAACTAACCAAAAATAA